AATACCATCCATTTCTTTCATTTGAAATTCACATAATGCTGGAGCACCTGGCTGGCTCAGGCAGAAGAGCATGTGATTCTTGGTCTCCTGGTCATGATTTCCAGCCCCCTACAGGGTGTAGAGTTTACTTAAAATAACAACAACAACCCACAAAACGTTTAATGTTAATGGTTTCCAGAGGAGAATTGTTATACCTCCCAAGAAGTGTCTTCTTAATTCTGGTCTCATATCCAATTGTTTGCTTAACATTTCTATGTCTCCAAAATGTCTTACATTTAATATGTCCAAAATAGAACTCAAAATTTCCTGAAACTTTCTCAAAGTCTTTCCCATCCAACTAATGGCAAACCACCTTCCCAACTGTGCGAGTCAAAAAATTAGATTTTTAATGATTGCTTCTTTTTCTTTCTATCCCACATCCAATCCCCAAACAAGTCTGGAGACTTCTATCTCACCTCCACCTCTGGCAATATATTAGGAATCCATTCATTTCTCTCCCCTACGGCTACTAGCATAGTCCAGGCCGCCATCTTCTTCTAGACAATCACAACAGCTTCCTAACTAGTGACCCCACTTCTTCTTCTTTTTTTTTTCATTATTTATTTTATTTTTAATTATTTATTTATTTGAAAGGAGGAGAGGGAGAGCATGTGTGAGTGAGGGGAGGGACAGAGGGATAGGATCTTTAAGCAGACTCCCTGCTGAGTGCAGTGCCCAATTCGGGGCTTGATTTGGACTTGAGATGGGCTTGATGTGAAGCTCCATCCCATGACCCATGAGATCATGACCTGAGCCAAACTCAAGAGTCTTGATGCTCAACCAACTGAGTCATCCATGCACCCCCTTTTCTTTCTCTCTCTCCCTTCTTTCCTTCCTTCCTTCCTTCCATCCTCTCCCTCCCTCTCTTTCTTTCTTTCTTTCTTTCTTTATTTCTCCCTGCAACATGGGGCTTGAACTCATGACCCTGAGATCAAGAGCTGCAGGATCCACTGACAGAGCCAGGCACGTGCCCCTTCTACTTCTATTTTTTGATACCACCAATCTTTTTTTCTGTGTAGTCATGATGCTCTTAAAATATAAATCAAATAATTTCATTTCCTGGCTAAATAATCAAGTTTTCCACTCCACTGAGAATAAAACCCAAATTCCTTATTCTTCTCTTTCTCTCTCTCTCTCTCTCTTTTTTTTTTTTTTTTCTTTTTTGTCTGTTGGGTAAAGGAATGTTTCTGAACAGGTTAAGAATCTCTATATAAGTTTTAGGGCTATCAAAAAACCAAGAGAAGGGGACATATTTTGGCAGAAAGAAGCATATTAAGAAATTCTGTTCAATTCTTGAAGAACTGGAGGCAAGACCAGCCTTAGGCACAGATGTGAATTGGGTAATGTTTATCTGTGGTGTTCCCAGCCTCCACTTCTTCAGCCATTCAGTTCCTTCCTTTGGGTATTTCCTTATCAGAATCAGGAAAAAATATAAATCAAATATAAGTACAAATTTAAGTTTAATAACTTTTTGCATTTCTAAGTTACTTCTAATTATGAAATGATAGGCATCTTTATTACCAAGGGAATTTCAGACATCATTTTTGAGGGGGATTAGAAAGAAGAGCAGATGATTTAAAAAGTCCTTTCTGGCAGCCTTAAAATCCCCATTTACAACCTACCAGCTATTCTGCCTTTAAGGCTAATCCAGTTAGGGTTATTTAAAATTTCTTGTAAAGCATGCTGAGAAGCAAAATAGAAGTATTTTGTCTCCTCTTGTTCTTGTGTGGTGTGAAACTTATTTGCCTGGGAAAGTTTTTTAACTCTGCAAATGTTTGCAATTTGAAAGACCATATTCTTTTTTTTTTTTTTAATTGGGATATAATTGACATATAATATTATATTGGTTTCAGATGCTTAACATCCAGATTGGTCTAATCTGTATGGCAGGCATGATCTGAGTTTCCCTTCTGTATTGCCCTTCTAGTGCAGTCCCAGGCTATTTTCCCTTGGCTTATAAGCCTCAGCTTCTGATTTTTATCCTTTGTACTCACCAAACTCTTTTCTGCCTTAGACCTTTACACATGCCCTTCCCTCTTCCTGGGAAGCTCTTCCTCCACAGTTAGCATAGCCAGTTCCTTCAGATTCCTTAGATACTAGGGTAAATATCACTTTTGCAGAGAGATCTCCACTGATCTGTTTTCTTTTTTTTCTATCTCAATCTTCTTTTTCTTTTTTTTTCCCCAAAAAACTTAAAAACAAACATACATTTGCTGCTTATTAGGTGTCAAATATTGTTCTATTCACAATAATCTCATCAGTAATTATATTATTGTCCCCTCTTTAAGGATGAGGCAACTGAGGCACACATAGCTAGTAAGAGGTAAAGTTGGATTTGACCCAAACGGATTAGCTTCTGCTCTTAACCACTATGCTGTATCCTGCTTATCAGTGCCACAATCTGGAATTTTTGTATTTATCTTTTTTTAAAAAGATTTTATTTATTTATTTTAGAGAGAGAGGAAGCATGAGAGTGTGTAGGGGTGGGATGGGGAGGCACAGAGGGGGAGGGAGAGGGAGGAAGAAAGAATCTCAAGCAGACTCTGTGTTGGGTGCAGAGCCCACGGTGGGGCTTGATCTCATGACCCCGAGATTATGACCTGAGCCAAAACCAAGAGTTGGAGGCTTAATCAACTGAACCACCTATGCATCCCTGTTGTTGTCTGTTTTTAATCTGTTTTGTCATGTGTTTTTTGCTTGTCCCTCTCAGAACACAAGCTCCATGAAGTCAGGACCACTGACCACTGATATCTTACTGGTCATTGATTTCACAATGCCTACTATTGTTCCTAGGACATAAGGGGCACTTAATAAATATCTGTTTAAAGAATGAATGAATGAATGAGAACAAGGGAAAACAATATTCATGAAAAGTTGGTGAGTGGTTGGTTTGAGGTACTAAGTCACAAGATATAATTTTTCCTAAATATTTGTGTTTTTAAAAAGTATCATTTATTCTCTACATCCATTGTGGGGCTCGAACTTATGGCCCCGAGATCAAGAATTGCACTCTCTTCTGACTGAACTAGCCAGGCACCCCTAATTTTTTTCTAAATATTTGTAAGTAAGAAGGTTTCCTAAGTAATCAGAGCCTGCTAATTTAAAGAAATATGAGGGAACACTACTTCCAGGAATGGTTTAAGAAATTCTTTTCTAGGGCACCTGAGTGGCTCAGACATTAAGCATCTGCCTCTGGCTCAGGTCATTATCCCAGGGTTCTGGGATGGAGCCCAGTACCAGGCTCCCAGCTCAGCGGGAAGCCTGCTTCTCCTTCCCCACTTCCCCTGCTTGTGTTCCCTCCCTCTCTCTGTCTCCCCCTCTCTCTCTCAAATAAATAAATATTAAAAAAAATTCTTTTCTAGATACTTATCAGTGATCTATATATACATCTATCTATATCTATGTGTGTACCTATATATACAACGTGTGTATGACATATATATGGGAAGAAATGTAACTGTGCAGCTCTGGGAGATTATGGTATGTAAGGGAATAAGTTAATTTTCTTCAAGTTAAATACCAACATATAAAGGATCAAAGTTGTTATAAGCAAAATCTTGTAATGTTAAAATAGTGTAATGTCTGAATGAAGTCAGACTGAATACATTAACTAAAGTAGATGAATCAGGAAAATGGGGCAAGAAGGAAAGTTGCAGAGGCAAACTCCATTCTCAGTAATACCCAAAGGAAAGGGAGTAACAGGCAATCTCCCCCAAGTGTTACGATTCCTTCGGAAGGGCTCTGCTTATACTTTGTGGAGTGAGGAAAGGCCAGGGGGCATACTGGGAAGAAGGCAGTTTGGCTACCCATAATTATAGCTTTTATCTCTTCTCTCAGCAGGTCATGATCATTCTTCATTGTGGGGCACCCAGGAGGAGCTTTGCAACTGGACTGTGACATCAAGACAGTATAAGTGGAAACGATGTGGTCATTATCTCCCCTGCTTCTCTGCCAGGTTGGAATGTATGGTTAGGAGCATGTTTCAAGTATTTTCTCCATTTAATTAATTAATTAATTAAAGGCCAGATAATCACAAGAGAATATTCTGTTGTAATTGTCAGCATCTGGAAGGAATCTTTTTTTGTCTGTTTTTGGAGGCAGTGAAAATCACATCCAGACTGCCTATTAGTCAAGGCTTTGTAAGAGCATTATTTGCTCTTCCTCCCACACCATCAGCAACTGTCTTTGTTTCTTTACCATACAAAAGGAAGGGGAGTGTTGAGTCCTGCTTTCTAAATCAGAAAGTGTGTGTGTGTGTGTGAGTGAGTGTGTGTGTGTGTGTGTGTGTGTTGATCACCTCCTGGCCACTGAGAAACAGCTCTCTAAATAGTGGCCCCCAATAGAAGAGAAGGAAGGAACTGATAAGACCTTTGGTGTATTGGTCCCAGAGCCTCCCTTCCATTTCCACAGAAATCACTCCTTTTCTGTTCCTATTCTCCCTTTCCTCTAGGTTAGCCATTCTGATCTCTTCTCCATTTTTGGTCTTTCACTCTGACTTTGCCTTCCTCTCCTTTTGTGACTCTTCATATTGATCAAAGTGGTCATTTTACCAGCATATAATATTTAGTTGCCGGGTGTGTATTATTAATGAGTGATGAGGCCAATATAATCCAGTTTAGGGTTCTGGAGTTAGGATTAAATTTTGGTTTCACCACTGAAGAGTTGCCTGATTTGAACAAATCCCTCAGTTTCCTGCACCTTTCTTTCACCACTTTTAAGTTGGGGATAATGGTTCCTACTTCCAAGAGTGGTCATTAGGACTAGAGAGAATGCATATACCATACTCAGAAGAATGGCTGGCATGTGGTCTCAAGAACTATTAGCTCTTATTATTTTAAAAATGTTTATTGTAGGGAAGGAATCCTTGATACCAATATAGGGAATTTCATGCAGTTTTCCTTTACTGAAGAACGAGTAGAGTAGCACGACTGAGGCAAGATACAGTAGTACCTAAAGGCTTACTGGGTGTATGCATTTTTCGGAGCAGATCCCAGTCCTGTGGCAAGCTGGGCACAGACCGCTGTGCGAAGGCAAGCAACTTTAGTGAAGACTGTCCTGAGGGGTAATAAGGTTATAACCAGGCCAAGCTAGCCAGGGGAAGGGAGGGGAGGCAGAAGGTAGGGGGGAGGGAGGGAAGAGCGCGCAGTGGGGTGGGTCTGGCAGGCTTTGGAAGCGCAGCGCTGGTTTGGGTGCTGGAGGCTGGAAGGGGGCTGGGAGCCCAGGGGGCGAGAAGGATACGCGGGACCCCGAGCGCGTTAGTTACTGTTTGCTTTTCCCTGGGAAAGGCGTCGATTCCAGGCGGTTCCTGAGCTCGAGCTCCCGTCGCAGCGGCAGAGCAGGGGCGTCCCCGCCACTCCGGGGGGGGGGGGGCTTCGGTGTCCGCGGGTCAAAGTCCTGGGAGGAACTCGCGTCCGCGGCCCGCCGGGCCGGGCGGAGGTTCCCCCGGCGCGCGTTCCGCCGCCTCCGCCTCGGCCTCCCGCCCGCGCGCCCCCGGGTGCAGACGGCGGTGGCGGCCCAGCGCGCCCGGCGGGAGGCGCCTCGGGATGTTTCCGTCGGTTCCTTCCCTCCCCCCGCGCTGACTCCATCCGCCTCCCCGCCCCCTGCTCGGAGCCGGGGCCAGGCGCGAAGGGAGGGAGCGGGCCGAGACTGCATCATTCCGCACCGGCTGCAGCACTGCCAGAGGGAGCAGGTGGAGCGAGCGAGCGAGACGCGAGCCCGAGCGCGCCAGGCCCCGGGGAGACTGCAGTGACGCTGCCCGGGAGACATGGCGGCCGGGCGCCTCTGAATAAGCAGAATCCGGAGCCCCTCGTCGTCCCCGGCAGCCGCAGCCCAGGCCATGCCGCACGGCTGCTGACCGCACGCAGGGGCCGGCCCAGAGGACTCATGCGGCAGCGGCTGGCGCCTCGCCCCTGATCCTCTCCCTGCGTTCTCCATGTTGCATTTCTCCTCAGTTTCTCCGGCAGTGTAGCCGCTGCCGCCGGAGCGGCAGTCAGCGCCGCGCTCTGCTCATTCATCCCCACACTTTTCTTTTCCATTTTTACCCTTCCCCCGCCTGCTTTGCATCCATCTCCCCATCCGCCGGGGCTATGGCCTCAGAAGAGGTATTGCAGACTGTGGACCATTATAAGACTGAGATAGAGAGGCTGACCAAGGAGCTCACGGAGACGACCCACGAGAAGATCCAGGCTGCAGAGTACGGGCTGGTGGTACTGGAAGAGAAGCTGACCCTCAAACAGCAGTATGACGAGCTGGAGGCTGAGTACGACAGCCTCAAACAGGAGCTGGAGCAGCTGAAAGAGGTGAGTTGCCTGTCACCTCATCCCTCCGCGGCCCCCGTCCCCCGTCCCCCACCCCCAATGCCCACTCTTCGCTGGTAAAAAGTCGGAAAGGATGCGGTTGAAAGGGAGGTTTCTTCGTCTTAGAGCCCTTTGTTGATAGGAGAAGATTGAAAGAGTCCATTGTTTTCCCCCCAAGAGAAAAATTGCCCGGGAAATGAATGTATAAGCTGGAATTTGAGAGGCGGTGGCTGTGCGGGCTGTGGGGGAGGGAGCTTCAGAAGTCTTCAAGTCTCAGCACTCGAAGGCGACAGCTGGGTCGGAATGCGTAAATCCAGCTTCCCAAAACTGTTATTTCAAACCCGGGTTCCAGCGACAATCCCGTAATCCACAAAAGGTGGTGAGTAGGGTCGTGCTGAGGGACCCGCGGTTTCAGGATGCAGGACCTGTGGTGCCTCAGCCTGGTGAACGTAACCACCCCTTGATGCAAGAGGGAACTGTGATCAGAACTCTCCGCCAATCCCATCGGACAAAGTCTGGGCGGTTTTCTTCTCCTTGGCTTTAGTTACTCCTGTCCTCGGGCTGCCTGAGAAAAACAACTCTGCGGGGTGATCCCACTGCCTCGATTTCACCTCTGAGTGAGGCAGAGCCATGCCCAAGTCAGATAAGGTCACCCTGACCAGGGAAAATTGAACTCCTCTACACATTGGCTGAATGGTATATATCAAGTGCAAGGGTAGCCGTCCATATCAAATGAGGCTCTTCTGTTTGAAATGACTGGGTTTATAAAACCAGAATATCACAAATGGGCCAGGTATGCCACTGTCCCTCTTGAGTCTTTCCGTGTTTGGCTTCTCTTAAAGACTGGCTAATGTTTGGAAGAAAATAATGGATGTGCTCTGATTTCCTATCAAGCGCTCATAAGAATATACATACTGTTGAAGGAACTCGGTCTGTTTTGTCTGATTCCTGAAGCACTATGGGTAGCAAGTCACTGGTTATAAATTTAGATGTATACACTGCTTTTCTTTGTGGTGAGTCTTTATTTTTAGGTGCATATTGGCTTTTAGGTGTTAATTTTAAATTTGGCATGTATTATTATCAAAAATGGTTTTCTTAGTTTTTTGGAGGGTGTCTGTTTTATATGGCTACAGTTAAAAACGTGATTTATGACCTATCTAATCAAATTGCCTTCTAATCCAGTACACAATATGGTAAATACACTTTCAGGTATGTCTTATTTTTATTCTGATGCCTAAATGCGAACAAATAAACAATTAGTAAAAACCCCAACTAAAAATCTGATTTTCACGTATCAGGCTGTAAATTTTGAGTTCATGTTTTTCTTACCATGTACATGTCTGTTCTTAACAACAGCTGGACTCACTGGTATTTTCCAAGTTAGATTAGGTCAGATATGTTTAAATTCAGTGATGCTAAACCTTGTGAAGTCAGGAAACAGGATAGTGATTGTAATTCTCAGAGATGTTTTGATGTTTTTAAACCTGTCAACACTGCTTTGCCAAGGTGAGGAAGTGCAAGCCAGGCAGTGGTAAGCCATCACCTCCTTGATAAAGGAGGTAGACTTAATTTAATGAAATGGAGTATTACTGTTAACTGATCTTCCTGCTTGATTTAAGCAACCTTTCTGGGGGTATTTCTGTGTCCTTTGCGCTTACTCTGCATAGTATTCCATTATGCAATTGTGTTTTGCCTTTACTAGACCATGAGCTCTTAAGGAAAGGAAACTGTTAATTTATTTTGCATCCAAATCCTTTAACACAAAGTCTATCACACTGTAAGTGTATAATAAATATTTTATTAAAGAATAAATTTCTACTGAAAGAAGAGACACCTTTATCAAACATTCACTAGTCAATATTGGTTAGTGTCAGAGAAAGATGAAGAAAATTAGGAAGTATAGGAAGTGACTGCTATTGAAACACTACCTTTATTATTGTCATCAACAATAATGGGAAAAATGAGAAAAAACATTTTGTGAGAATAGCACAATTGTAGTTTCTTAATAAAGAATAATACAAATAGCAGTTATATATTTTTTTCTTTAAAAATTTGAGGCATATTTTGTTCTATATTAGCAGGAGGCTGATAAAAATTTATCAGGATTATTTTTACCAAATGAAACTCATTTACATAAGTATTTTGAGTTGTACTTAGCATAAATTGATTCGGTTATTTATTCCGAATGAACTACCTTAAGCAATTACATAAAAATGTATTTAAGAGTAATAAAATAATCATTATATTTGGTTGTTTGATGTTGTGACCTGTTATTTTTACTCTTTTAATGTATGCTTTAATTAGAAGTATTATTTAAATGTGCTAAATCAGTCTCAATAATACTTCCTACTTGAACGGTAAATCCAGAATAATTGGGCAAACTAAAATATCCCAATGATGATAATCATATAGAAGCCATTTTTGAAAGACATGTTTTGTGAGTGCTCTGATTTTTAAAAGGGAAGTTTTGTTCACTTACGGGTACATATAGTAAACAACGCTGCATTTTTTTTCTAAAGCCAAGTATAAAATCTTTGGCTTATTTCTAGGCTCTTGCAACAAATATGATTCATTTAAAAGTAATTGGTCCAGTTTACAGGAATGTCTGCAGAAAATGACAGTACTAAGTCCAAGTTGAACATTGATAATTTGCAGTGTAACAACCTGGCTCAGTCTTTACAGGTCATTTTATTTTCAAGAGTCAGTACCCAGCAGTGTTGCTGCCCTTCTTCCCAGGCTGATTACTGCTGTGATAATAATGCCAAGTGAGCAGTGCTGCCTGAAGATGTGCAAAATCAAGATAATGAATTCATTAATTTTTTCTAGTTATTTCTTCCTTGAGTCTAGATTGCTTTTGACCTGGCTTGACATCATTTAGCGCTCTGCTCTGTGCCTACATCACTGTCTACATGACCCAAAAGAACAGACTTGAAAGAAAAGTACTAATGTTATGAAAAAAGAATGACTTCTGCCATCATCATAATGTTCTCCTTTTAATTATCTTTGGGGAGCTGGACAAAGCAACATCCTTGTTAGAATACTTGACCATGGTTTTATAATTTCACAAGTAATGCTTGCTTTTCAGTGACCTGAGGGGCACCCATGCCCAGTTATGTTCAGGTCCTGGCCAATTATATATTTGGGACGTGTGTAAATCAGCACTGTGATTGTCATTCAGGCCAAAATAGTGTTTGAGGAAGAGTCATAGTTCCAAAATAATTTTAAAAAATTAAAAATACACACACATTAAAAAAAAAACAAAAATTCCTAGAATTTAAATTTGTTTGTGGTTGTTTTGTTTTTTACTTTAAAAATATTTGAAATTTAAAAATTAGTAAAATTGAAAAAGATCCTCATAGAAAGGAATGATTCAGCATTCCTGGTAACATTGTAGAAAACATATCCATGTGACAGCCTAAGAAAAGTTTTGCAGCTAGCTTATGGTAGACTATGTACTAAGAATTTTCAACTCTTTTTTTTGCTCATATTCTTAACCCTGACACCAATGATAGACACCATTTGCTAATGAAGCACTTTGTGGACAATGACCAGCTTTTCTTCCTGAAGCTAATTTTATGGATTTTTTTTTTTTCTTTTCAGGACTATGGTTAAATCATTCAAGGAATAGACATTGAACTTACACACTTTTTAGAGACTGTAACATTGGGGATCTGATGAAAGCCATTTAATTTTTTGGATTCATCTTTAAACAGAAATTTTTTCCTTCTTATGGTTAGACAGATTGTTAACTTTGTATATGCTAAATCATGAAATCATACTGGGGGGGAGGGAGCCCCTAGATTTCATTTCCAATCTATGAATAAACATAGAGAATGTTAATAATTTATTTGCCTAGGCTAGTGTTTTCTCTCTCACTGGTTTGAAAGAAGAATGTTTATATTTATCATCATATTTATTACCAAATTAAAACATCCATAATGTACCAACATATGCTTTTAGAAGGTATTTGCAAAGTATTTGCAAACAACCTCAACAAACACACACAATCACTTTCAATCATATATATATATATTTTTTGACCCAGTCACTCTAACCTGTAC